TTCATGCAGCTGTCTCATGTGTTCCTCACAATGGGGCACTAGGAGGCAGGTGTTATATCCAAGCTGGTAAGAGGGAACCAAAGTTTTGAGGAGTTATGACACTTTGACCTAATAAGCAGCAAAGCTGGGATTAAAATTCAGATCACTCTGATTCCAAGGATCAGATTCTTTACAGAGAGTGATTTATTTTTCCAGAGACTGATTTATTAGGAGACTCTAATGACTCTAAAATCTAGAGGTTCCAGGACTTCTTCTAAAGAAGGAGGATTTGAATTTGAATTGTACATCAAAGTCCAATTCAATAGAATGGTCATGCTTCTACTTCCTTTCTAAGTGATAAAATGTTGCCGATATCCTCTAAGAATTCCTCTAAGTGCTTACTGTGAACTAGGCACATTAAATGTACTTTATTGTTGGGGTACCTGGTGGCTCAGTGAGTTGAATGACTCTTGGTTTTGGCTCAGGTCATGATCTCATGGTTGTAAGACTGAGCCCCCCATCAGGCTCTGTGCTAGCTGTGCGGAGCCTGCTTGGAATTCTCTCTCACCCTCTCTCTCTGCCCCTCCTCCACGCATTCTCTCTCTCTCTCTCTCTCTGTCTCAAAACAAACAAATAAACAAACATAAAAAAAGAAAATACCTTGAGGGCTTGGGTGACTCAGTCAATTAAGCTTCGGACTCTTGAGTTTGGCTTAGTAATGATCTCATGGTTCATGGGCTCGAGCCCCACATCAGGCTCTACATTGGTAGTCCAGAGTCCTCCTTGGGATTATCTCTCTCTCTCTCTCAGTCTCTACCCCTCCCCAACTCATGCACGCTGTCTGTCTCTCTTTCAAAATAAATAACCTTTAAAATTTTTCAAAAATAAAAGTGAATATTATCTCTAAAAAATAAATGTATTTAGTTTCATAAGAATTATATGACCTTGATAGTATTAGTATCTCTATTTTAGAGTTGAATTAATTGGGACTTAGAAAAGCTAAGTAACTTGCCTGATTTCAAACAGTTGAGGAGAGGCTGAGCTGACATTGAACCCAGATTCTTTGACTTCATCACCTAAATGCTAGAGCCTCTACAGGGAATGGGTTTTTTTTTGTTTGTTTGTTTGTTTGTTTATCAAGATTTCAGTTCATACTAGTCAGTATTAGAATTAGTTTTGGTCTGTATAAGTCAGCTTAGACTGCCATAACAAGACACTTGAACAAAATATTTTCTCACAGTTCTGGAGCTGGAGGTCTATGATCAGTGTTCCAGTATGGTTGAGTTCTATCTACACTACAGACTGAATGTTTGCCTTCCTCCAAAATTCACCTGTTAAACCCTTAATCCCTAATGTGATATGTGGAGATGAGGCCTACTTACCTTCGTAACTAGGTCATGGTAGTGGAGCCCTCATCATGGGATTCATGTATGCCTTTTATAAGAAAAGACCAGGGGTGCCTGAGTGGCTCAGTCGGTCAAGTGTCTGACTTTGGCTTGGGTCAAGATCTCACTGTTCATGGCTTTGAACCTCGCATCAGCCTCTGTGCTGACAGCTCAGAGCTTGGAGCCTCCTTCAGATTCTGTGTCTCCCTCTGTCTCTGCCCCCCCTGCTTGCTCTCTCTCTCTCTCTCTCTCTCTCTCGCTCTCTCTCAAAAATAAGTAAACAATTAAAAAAAGAAAAGACCACAAGAGAATTTGCTTCCTTTTTCTCTGCCGTATAAAGATTCAAGGGGATGGTGGTCAATGAATCAAGAACCAAGTCCTCACCAGACACCAAGTCTGTCAGCACCCTGATCTCAGACTTTCAGCATTCAAACTGTGATAACTAAATTTCCATTGTTTAAACCACTGGGTGTATATAATTTTTGTTATAGTTGCCCAAAGGAACCTTGCCGTCATGACCTCAATGAAACTTAATCACCTCCCAAAGACCCCACCTCCAAATACCATCACATTGAAAGTTAGGGCTTCAACATGTGAATTTTGAGGGGACACAGTCAGTCCATAGCACCTACCCTTGGCTTAGTCTCAGTATCCCTTGCTGCAAAACCAGGTCATTCTCTTTCCAGCCTGTTTTTTGTGTAGCCAAGAATAGCCACTTAAGGCAGGCTCTCAATGTTGCACTGAGCCAAGCCTGGAGCCTGACTCATTAGGCATTTGCAGTCTTAGAAGAGTCAACTCAGATTATTAACAGGAGGAGACTATTGTCTTTTCTTTCCTTCTTTCTTTATTCTAAAAGGAAAGAGTAACAAGTTAGCTTCTGTTGTCAGAATAACAACAAGGGCATTTTCTGGCATTCAGTTCATAAGGAAATTTGTCTTGTAATTGAAGCTTCAGAGGCTCACTGGGCAATGATGGCATCCATGGTATAAATTAGTCTTCTCTCTACATTTACAAATGTTATCTTAATTATTGCAGCTAATTTGAATATAGCCTGGCTAAATTCTTCATTTAAAATTTAGCTATACTGAGGCACTTGGGTGGCTCAGTCAGTTAAGTGACCGGCTTCGGCTCAGGTCATGATCTCATGGTTTGTGGGTTTGAGTCCCACATTTGGCTCTGTGCTGAGAGCTCAGAGCCTGGAGCCTGCTTCTGATTCTATGTCTCCCTCTATCTCTCTCTCTGCCCCTCCACTGATTGTGCTTGCTCTCTCTCTTTCTCTCTCTGTCTTTCAAAAATAAATCAACATTAAAATTTAGCTATAACAGGGTATCCCTAAGGCCAGGGACAAAGTAGGTCCCAGTGCTCTGTAGCCTCACAATGAAACAGTGCTGTGGGAGAGCTAGCCATCCAGCACAGTGTCAATAAAAGCTAAGTGACAGGCTTCTTTATGAACCTGCAAAAGTCTTTTTCTCTATCTCTCCAACCAGTGACTCCTGGACCAACTTCTAGCTCTTACAGAGTACCCTCAGTGCAGAAAATGACCCCATCCAACCTCTGCCTTCCCTCCACAAAGGACCACAAAAGACCTGCAATGCAGCAACTTGCTATCTCTCCAGTCCCAGACCTTTGGCTACCTCAAACACCCCCAGAGCTGCCAGCTCCTTCCTTTCTTCCCAGTGTCAGTGATCCTTAGGGGAGCCAAGGTCCTGAAGCACCAGGAGCAGCTTGTCCTGCCAACAGAGGACTGGCTCAGATACTCCTGGGCCTCAGCAATAGTCTGGCAAAGAATCCAATGCTGGCAATGTTCAAGAAATTCTCTTGAAGGAAAAACATGTGACCAAGAAATCCTTTTTTTGCAATCCCAGAAGCAAAGACCACTGGCCTTCAGGCATGCAGGGAATTTTTATCTTAGAATGGTAGTACTAGAAAGTAACTGAAAAATTATCTTGTCTAATTTTTGCCTTACACAGAGAAGAAATTTCAGGAAAGAACAGGTCAGAAAGTAACAGGTTGTGCAGTTAAACAGAACAGTACCCAGCTGTCCTAAGCCCACAGCCAGTGTACTTCCCTACAGTTTACAAAGCCACAGAGAACAGGCCAGCAGGGAGAAGCCATACCTGCACACACACAAACATGGGGCATCCTTAGCTATGTGGGAACTCAAGTTCCCCACCTCCAGCTCCATATGCTTTCCTAACCTCTCTCTCCAGAGTTTTTTCTTCCTTCCTGGCCCCTGCTTTAAAAAAAGGAGCTGAAATCTGGGTTGGGGAATTGGTTTCCCTGGACTTTCCACAGGAGATGAAATTGCTTTCAGACTTGGTTTTCTTTAGTAGAACTGACCCTTTCACTAACTTGCTTTTAGCATAAGGCTTAGAAGGGATGAGAAATAAAGTAAGAAGGCAGGTCTTTCCAGAGCCCATTACCCCACCCCCTCTTTCCAAATGGGCCTGATTTGGGCTCCATATCACCCTCTAATCCATTTCAAACAGCTTAAAACCCACACTAGCAGCAATGAAGTTCTTACTAACAAATGTAACTCTGGCTCCATTGCTCACTTTTGAAGGGAAGGAGGCCCTTCCTGTTCTATCTTCCAGCCTATTGTGTTGTCTGTGTCTTGTTATGTAAAGTCCTGGATTTGTTAACAGTTTTAGTATCCTATGCAGTTAAAGCCTGGACGATGGAATAAAGATGGGCAAGGATAGTCTCTGGGCTGATGCAGATTGAAACTGAAAAGATATTAGATTGATAGAGTCAGGAAGAATATAAGAAAAAAAATCTTCATAAATTGGTTCAGTGCTGTTCTGCCAAGAATGCTACTATTTACCAAAATGAAATCACATATGTGAATTTTACTGCTGGCTAATGCTATCACCCTACAGCCTTTTTCCTCAGAAGGGACACAGAGTAATCATAGCTAACATTACTGAGCACTTACTGTGTGGCAAGATCTGCTGAGTGCTTTATGTGCAATAGTTCCTTCAGATCTCATAGCAACCCTATCCTGGAGGGGTTGTTATAATGTCCATTTCACAGATGAGTTAACTGAGGCTTTGGGATTTTAAGAAACTAGATTTGGCTCACAGAGCTAACAAGTGGTAGGTCTCGGTTTTGAGAACCCAGTTATCCTGACAAAATGGGCTAAACCTTCACTCTTCATTTGTTTGCTTTCTCTATATAAGTCTTCAGCTCTAGTGTCTGGAGAATAGACTGAGGAAGATGCTCTGGACTTAGGACGGGTAGCACAAGCTAACATGAAGAAGCAAATCAAAAGGGATGCACTATTTTGTCATTCCATTTCAAGCTTTGGGCTCTAGTGCTATCTCTGTCCTCTCTGCAAAATAATTTCCATATATGTAAATAAAAGGGACTAGTTAGAGGGTCTCTCTTCCATTCCCACTAGTTCCATTTCTGGTCAATCAGGAAGTAATGTAAAAATGGTATTCAGGCAAGAGCGTGGGTCTGGCCATATCTTCACTACTGCCCCAGACCACTTTATTCAAGCTACATAGAGTGAATAAGAACTCCACACCAAAATGAGCAAAGCAGAACATAAAGCATTTTTCCTACTTCACATATTTAAATATATTGAAGTGTAGAAAGCTTTCAGTAACAAGGATTCTTTTCTTTCATACTCACTGTTGATTAATTCCATATTTTCCCAGCAGTGGTGGTACAATATCACTCAAAATGCAGATGGGAGGACACAGCAGGGAAAGGATGAATGAGGCGCTCATGTCTCAGGGTCCTGATGACTCAAGCTTTGTTCTCATGGTTACTCTGATGTCAGAGAAGCCCTGGTGGGTGTGAATAGCTTGGTAAAAAACAAAATTACCTGCCCAGGACCTCTTAACCATCTGGATACATATTTTTACTAATCTCACAGGATCAACACCTAGCTGACTTACACAGAATAGGGACAGTTAGACAAAATAGCTATCATATTGGCAACAATATGCAGACTTCATAATAATATCATGAACTTTATGATAGAGCATCCCAGTAGACAGGTCACAAAGGACCTCTATTGCTCAGTGTGTCCAAGGAGCCCTCAGAAGATGGAAAGTTTGATTACCTGATTTCCCAACCCACCAGCTGAATGTTTGAAATTGGGTTTAGGGAGATAAATAGAGATCTGTGGTCTCTGAATGGAAGGTCTGAATTTTAGGTCAATATTTCCCACCTGAGATGATTTCAGTTATGAGCATTTGTCTAGATTCTCATGGAATCACTGGTCTATTGGTTTTGCCAACAGAGTAGATAAGCCTCTTTTGTCATGTATAATGAAAGTACCATAATCTCCCACCCTTGGAGGTAGAGGGTCTCATCAAGTGGCAAGGCATGGATACAATGTAAGGAAAAACTTCTTACTGGAACAGCAGAGAGCTGAGGAGCTCCAGGGTAAAGAGGGAAATGGAGTGAGCACATCAGATGTATCACAGCATAATTATAGATTCACTAAGATTTATTCATTCATTGATTCTCTAATGCAGCACTACTATTCTGTGATAGTCACTGTGAAAGAGTCTGGGGCCAGAGCAGAGAATAAGACAGGTGCAACAACCCTTGTCCTCATAAGGCTTACAGTCTCGACAAGGGTACAGAGGGAGAGGAAATCAGCAGGCAGACAATTAAGTCTGTTTGATAAGTGATGGAAGGAGAAATGGAGGTGTTATTTAGAGGTGCCACCTAACCCTGACACAGACGTCATCAGGAACACACAATCCCACTCTGTCACCCCCCAGTCCCTTCAATCTGTTTCTCCAATATCTCTTGACCACACCTACTATTCTTTTGCCTCTACTTACTCTTCCTCAGTACATCTGTCTCCTTTCTATTCCTCAAACATTGCAAGCACTCCATCACTCAGAGCCTTTGCACTTACTGTTACCTCTGCCTGGAACACTCTCCCCAGACAGCTAAATGGTTTGCCCTTCATCTTTTCCAGACTTTGACACAAATATTTTCTCATGAGGCCTCCCTAGCCACTCTACTTATATTGCCAAATCCCTACTCCCTATCTCCTTTCCTGTTTTATTTTTCTCATTGGTACTTATCGCCATCTGCCATGTGCATATATTGACGCACATATCTTGTTGGCTGTTTATCTACTCCTCCTAAACATAAAGCTCTATGAGAGTAGGGATTTGGTCTGTTTGCTTACTGCTGAATCCTTAGTACCTAGAACTGCATTTGGTAGATACTCAATAAATATTTGAATGTTGAATAAATATTGATTTAATGAAAACTAAAAAATAAGTAGATGTTATCCTTGCAAAGAGACTGAGAGATGACAAGGTGGAGGTGAAGGAATGCAGAGGGGGAGGAGTTCACTCAAAGGAAATAACATGGGCCAGGGTCTGGAGGGGGAGAAAGTGTGGCACATGTGAGAATGTGCTCTGCTCTGTTCTGTTCTGCTCTGACTGGCTGAAAGGTAGAGTTGGCCAGAGGCAAGAAATGAGGCATAAGGTTGAACTGAGGCAAGACTGGTAACCTTGTTGTTGGACTTGGACTTATCCTCTGGTAAATGGGCAAATACTGAGGGTATATAATTTTATTATATATACATTATACATATATTATGTTATTAAAATATTTTAATGAAAGTTTATTTATTTTGAGAGAGAGGGAGAGAGAATTAGCAGTGGAGGGGCAGAGGGAGAGGGAGAGAGAATCCCAAACAGGCTCTGCATTGTCAGCATATCACCCAATATGGAGCTTGAACTCATGAACTGTGAGATCATAACCTAAGCCAAAATCGAGTCGGACACTTAACCGACTGAGCCACCCAGACACCCCTAAAATATTTTAAATGTAAACATAAAATTATCAGATTTATGTTATAGGAAGATCACTTTGGATATGCATGATAAGTGAACTATAAAGCAGGGCATGAAGGGCAGGAAGGCCAATTAGGAGGCCATTGCAGAAGTTCTAGCAGGACATGATGGCTGCATAGACTAAGGTGGTGTGAAAAATGTAGCAACATGGATATAGGTTTAGAAGATATTCAGGAGGCAGAAGTGGTAGGCCTAATGATATATTAGATACGAGATATGAGGAGGGGGGAGGGAACCTACCTTCTATCATGAACCTTGGGTTAAATAGCAATGGCATTGTTGAGCCAAGTCAGAAGAAGAAACACAGACACCTGAAAGAGTCAGTGTTGAAGTCCCAGTGGGGCATTCCAGTGTAGATGGCTGGTAGAAGTCTGGTGAGCAGTTCTAAGAGGGAGTTATATGCTAAAGACAAACATTTGAGAATTGGTATACACACACACAGGGAATGAAGTCCTGAGAGTAAGTGAGACTATCCAGGGAATGAAGAAATAACCCTCAGGCCCTTAGGGTTGGGCCTGAGGGATGTTTCCCCAGAGAACCACCAGAAAAAGCCACCAGTCAGGATTCAGAGTTGTCAGAGTCAAGATATTTTATTATTGTAACTAAGTCTGGCACTGTTGGGTGAGAAGCTAGAGTTGAATAGGATGAAGAATTGAGGCAAGTATAAAGTATTGACCTTGATCTTGGAGACAAGATCTTGACTTCAAATCTTGATCCTACTATTTGTACCCTTAACAACTCCATGTCCGAGGTTCCTTATAGAAAAATAGGGATCATCATGCTTTCTTCATATGGACATCAAATTTGAATGAGAAAATGGAAATATACACAAAGGTGCAAGGTCTGAGCCTTTGCAAGTTTATTCAGCAATTTATTTAGTAAATATTTGTTGCACACAAAGTGCCACGCACCAAGGAATCCATGATCCAAGCAGACACACCCCCACCCTCAGGGCACTCATAGTCTAGAGAAACTCAGTAAGAGCTTTTTACTTTCTTAGAATTTAAGGGAGGTAGTGAATTGTTCCTGGGCAGGCTGAGTGGCCCCAGACAAAAGTGTGACATGGGGAAACAATTTGCCTTTACTTTCTGGGAAGTGGTGGTGCTTATGCTGCTTATATACTCCAGTCATTTCCTCTCCAGTCCTCCCACCCTGCAGCAAAGTTTGCATTTTTCTGACCACCTCCTGTCCCAAGGGCCAAACTCTCTAACTTCTTGGCCAGACCCTACCTCCTTTTTTCAAAGCCTTACTAACTGATAGAATGAGTCTACTTATTATAATTCAGTCTTATGAGGCCAGGGTTTTTTTAATTGATAAAAGTGACATTTATTTCAAAGACATAATGCCATGAAGAAATTCTCTGAGGCCAGCTTGGGAGTGGGGAAAACTGCTGCCCCCCCCCCCCAAAGGAAACAGGAGTTGAGTACTTCTATGCATTCCAGCTGTTCAGGGAAGGCTGGGTCAGAGCTCATAAATGAGTTCTGTGAGGCCAAGGGGTTTTGTTTGATGTATTCACTGCTGTTTACCTAAGGCATAAGTTGGGTACCCAATGAATGCTTGAATCACTGAATGCCTTGTCATGTCAAGGCATTAAATAGCTGAAAACTCAGGTAGTTTGTCTATCAGTGAAGGAGTGAAAAAACTGAGCAATCAATGCGGGGATCAAGAAATCAGTCAAAGGCAGTGTTTTGAAAGGGGACCCTCCAAGCCCTGAAAAACACAGCTGCTTTCTACCTGTGAGCAATGCCTGTATGTGTATTCAGGCTCAACCAGGTGTAGTGAAAGTAAAGCAGCACCAATGAGAGTAAGAAAGTTAGAGTGTCATGACTGCCCATGATTTCTTCTCCCTACCTACTCCTTATTGCTTCACTTAACAAACAAACAAGGCTGCAATGTGGATAACAGTCTGTGAGTCCCCAGGGTGTGCTCTCTGACTTCCATTTATTTCTTAGGAGACATCATCACTCTCATATACAATTAGGTTTACACTGGGAAGAACCAAGAGTTGGAAAGCAGGAGCAAGTCTGACCTTCTGGCATACTGGATGGAAATCCAGCTCTGCCACTGATCATCTGTATGAACCTCAACAGCTATAACTGCCCTGGGCCTCAGTTTCTCAACTCTACAAAGGTAAATGGTTGCCTTGAGAATTAACCAAGATTGCATGTTTGACAATAAATATGAAGTCTGATGACTAGAATGACATATGGCTTCATCAGTATGTATACCTCTGTCCAAATACCAGAACCAATGGAAGGTATCCTGTGGTACAGGTAATCATTAGCTGTTAATTTTCACAAAATTACCTCATTGGTATTTGAGTTTTTCTATACTGTAAAGCCAATAGAATACAGAATTCAAGACAGTTGCGGGGTGCTTGGGTGGCTCAGTTGGTTGAACATCTACTCTTGATTTTTGGCTCTGGTCATGATCCCAGCGTCATGGGATTGAGCCCCACAGTGGGCTCCGCACTGAGGGTAGAGCCTGCTTAAGATTCTCTTTCTCTCTCCCTCTGCCCCTCTGCCCTGCTTGGGCTCTTTCTCTCACTCTCTCTCTGTCTCTCTCAAATAAAAAATAAAAATAAAAGAATTCAAGAATTTTTGTCTGGCATAAATAGGTACTCAATGAATAAGTTAAAGGGTTAAGTGAATGAATCAATGAATGGATGGCCTCATACTACTTTACTAATTTTATCTCTTTTTGCTCCCTTGCCCAGACTCTTGGGCCCAGAAACACTGTCTTCTTGCTGCTCCATGTTCATATCTAGCTCAAGGCCACTTCTATGATTGTGTTTCCAATGAACCAAACAATAAATATCTAATATGCTCCTAAATTGTGTGCAGCACTTTGGAGGGTGGTTCATAGGGAATAAAATGGCTAATAAAATATAGTCCTATTCCAAGGAGCTTATAATTTTGTTGAAGTGAGAAATGTCAAGTGAAAAAGGCAAACTTGAAGGTTGTGATATTTGAGTTGGGTCTGGAAAGACATAGGGCCTGAGAGGCTCCCCAAGCAAATGTTACCTTAAACTGAGACTTTCTATTTTTGGTCACCTAATTGTCCCTAAAATAGTTGAAGCCTGTCAGCTTTA